AGGGTTCACCCTGGGGCCTATATTGTAAGTCCAGGAAGAGAGGTGGACACCTGGGTAGCTTGCTAGAGTCAGAGGCCCCTAGGTGGAAGGCTAGGGGGCACCTTGGGGTCTATACTGCAAGTCCAGGGAGAGAGGTGGACCCCTGGGTAGCTTGCTGGGGTCAAAGGCCCCTAGGTGGAGGGCCAGGGGGCACTCTGGGGCCTCTACTGCAAGTCCAGGGAGAGAGGTGGACCCCTGGGTAGCTTGCTGGGGTCAGAGGCCCCTAGGTGGAGGGCCAGGGTACATCCTGGGGCCTATACTGCAAGTCCAGGGAGAGAGGTGGACCCCTGGGTAGCTTGCTGGAGTTAGAGACCCCTAGGTGCAGGGCCTGGGGGCACCCTGGGGCCTATACTGCAAGTCCAGGGAGAGAGGTCGACCCCTGGGTAGCTTGCTGGGGTCAGAGGCCCCTTGTTGGAAGGCCAGAAGTCACCCTGGGGCCTATATTGCAAGTCCAGGGAGAGAGGTGGTCCTTTGGGTAGCTTGCAGGTGTAAGAGGCCCCAAAGTTGAGGGCCAGGGGGCACCCTGGGGCCTATACTGCAAGTCCACGGAGAGACGTGGACCCCTGGGTAGCTTGCTGAGGTCAGAGGCCCTTAGGTGGAGGCAAGGGGGCACTCTGGGGCCTACACTGCAAGTCCAGGGAGAGAGGTGGACCCCTGGGTCGCTTGCTGGGGTCAGAGGCCCCTAGGTGGAGGGAAAGGGGGCACCCTGCGGCCTATACTGCAAGTGCAGGGAGAGAGGTGGAACCCTGGGTAGCTTGCTGGGGTCAGAGGCCCCGTAGGTGGAGGGCCAGGGGGCACCTTGGGGTCTATACTGCAAGTCCAGGGAGAGAGGTGGACCCCTCGGTAGCTTGCAGGCGTCAGAGGCCCCTAGGTGGAGGGTTAGGGGGCACCTTGGGGTCTATACTGCAAGTCCAGGGAGAGAGGCGGACCCCTGGATAGCTTGCTGGGGTCAGAAATTCTAGGTGGAGGGCAAGGGGGCAACCCTGAGGCCTTTACTGCAAGTCCAGGTAGTGAAGTGGACCCCTGGGTAGCTTGCTGCGGTGATAGGCTTCTACATGGGGGGCCAGGGGGCACCATGTGGCCTATACTGCAAGTCCAGGGATAGAGGTGGACCCCTGGGTAGCTTGCTGGGTTCAGAGGCCCCTAGGTGGAGGGTAAGGGGGCACCCTGGGGCCTATAGTGCAAGTCCAGGAAGAGAGGTGGACCCCTGGGTAGCTTGCTGGAGTTAGAGACCCCTAGGTGCAGGGCCTGGGGGCACCCTGGGGCCTATACTGCAAGTCCAGGGAGAGAGGTCGACCCCTGGGTAGCTTGCTGGGGTCAGAGGCCCCTTGTTGGAAGGCCAGAAGTCACCCTGGGGCCTATATTGCAAGTCCAGGGAGAGAGGTGGTCCTTTGGGTAGCTTGCAGGGGTAAGAGGCCCCTAGGTTGAGGGCCAGGGGGCACCCTGGGGCCTATACTGCAAGTCCAGGGAGAGAGGTGGACCCCTGGGTCGCTTGCTGGGGTCAGAGGCCCCTAGGTGGAGGGAAAGGGGGCATCCTGGGGCCTATACTGCAAGTCCAGGGAGAGAGGTGGACCCCTGGGTAGCTTGCTGGGGTCAGAGGCCCCTAGGTGGAGGGCCAGGGGGCACCCTGGGGTCTATACTGAAAGTCCAGGGAGAGAGGTGGACCCCTGAGTAGCTTGCTGGCGTCAGAGACCCCTAGGTGGAGGGCAAGGGGGCAACCCTGGGGCCTATATTGCAAGTCCAGGGAGAGAGGTGGTCCTTTGGGTAGCTTGCAGGGGTAAGAGGCCCCTAGGTTGAGGGCCAGGGGGCACCCTGGGGCCTATACTGCAAGTCCAGGGAGAGAGGCGGACCCCTGGATAGCTTGCTGGGGTCAGAAACCCGTAGGTGGAGGGCAAGGGGGCAACCCTGAGGCCTTTACTGCAAGTCCAGGGAATGAGGTGGAACCCCTGGGTAGCTTGCTGGGGTCAGAGGTCCCTAGGATGAGGGCCAGGGGTCACCCTGGAGCATATACTGCAAGTCCAAGGAGAGAGTTGGACCCGTGGGTAGCTTGCTGGGGTCAGAGGCCCTTAGGTGGAGGGCCAGGGGCACCCTGGGGCTAATACTGCAAGTCCAAGGAGAGAGGTGGACCCCTGGATAGCTTGCTGGAGTCAGAGGCCCCTAGGTGCAGGGACTGGGGCCACCCTGGGGCCTATATTGCAAGTCCAGGGAGAGAGGTGGACCCCTGGGTAGCTTGCTGGAGTCAGAGACCCCTTGTTGGAGGGCAAGGGGCAACCCTTGGGCCTATACTGCAAGTCCAGGGAGAGAGGTGGACCCCTGGGTAACTTGCTGGGGTCAGCGGCCCCTAGGTGGAGGGCCAGGGGCACCCTGGGGCCTATACTGCAAGTCCAGGGAGAGAGGTGGACCCCTGGGTATCTTGCTGCGATCAAAGGCCCCTAGGTGGAAGGCCAGGGGGCACCTTGGGTTCTATACTGCAAGTCCAGGGAGAGAGGTGGACCCCTGGGTAGCTTGCTGGGGTCAGACACCACTAGGTGGAGGGCATGAGGGGCAACCCTATGGCCTTTACTGTAAGTCCAGGGAGAGAGGTGGAACTCTGAGTAGCTTGCCGGGGTCAGAGGCCCCTTGTTGGAAGGCCAGAAGGCACCCTGGGGCTTATACTGCAAGTTAAGGGAGAGAGGTGGTCCCCTGGGTAGCTTGCTGGGGTAAGAGGCCCCTAGGTTGAGGGCCAGTGGGCACCCTGGGGCCTTTACTGCAAGTCCACTGGGAGAAGTGGACCCCTGGGTAGCTTGCTGGGGTCAGAGACCCCTAGGTGGAGGGCAAGGGGGCAACCCTGGGGCCTTTACTGCAAGTCCAGGGAGAGAGGTGGACCCCTGGGTAGCTTGTGGGGGCCAGAAGCCCCTAGGTGGAGAGCCAGGGGGCACCCTGGAGCATATACTGCAAGTCCAGGGAGAGAGTTGGACCCGTGGGTAGCTTGCTGGGGTCAGAGGCCCCTAGGTGGAGGGCCAGGATGCACCCTATAACCTATAGTGCAAGTCCAGGGAGAGAGGTGGACCCCTGGGTAGCTTTCTGGGGTCAGTGGCCCTTAGGTGGAGTGCTAGGGGCACCCTGGGGCCTATACTGCTTGTCCAAGTAGAGAAGTGGACCCCTGGGTACTTTGCTGCGGTCAAAGGCCCCTAGGTGGAAGGCCAGGGGGCACCTTGGAGTCTTTACTGCAAGTCCAGGGAGAGAGGTGGACCCCTGGGTAGCTTGCTGGGGTCAGAGGCCCCTAGGTGGAGGGCCATGGGGCACCCTGGGGCCTATATTGCAAGTCCAGGGAGAGAGGTGGACCCCTGGGTAGCTCGCTGGGGTGATAGGCTTCTACATGGGGGGCCAGGGGGCACCCTGTGGCCTATACTGCAAGTCCAGGGAGAGAGGCGGACCCCTGAGGTAGCTTGCTGGGGTCAGAGGCCCCTAGGTGGAGGGCAAGAGGGCACCCTGGGGCCTATAGTGCAAGTCCAGGGAGAGAGTTGGACCCCTGGGTCGCTTGCTGGGGTCAGAGGCCCCTAGGTGGAGGGCCAGGGGGCACCCTGGGGCCTATAGTGCAAGTCCAGGGAAAGAGGTGGTCCCCTGGGTAGCTTGCAGGGGTCAGAGGCCCCTAGATTGAGGGACAGGGGCACCCTGGGGCCAATTCTGCAAGTCCACAAAGAGAGGTGGATCCCTGGGTAGCTTGCTGGGGTCAGAGGCCCCTAGGTGGAGGGCCAGGGGGCACTCTGGGGCCTATACTGCAAGTCCAGGGAGAGAGGTGGAACCCTGGGTCGCTTGCTGGGGTCAGAAACCCCTAGGTGAAGAAAAAGGGGGCACCCTGGGGCCTATACAGCAAGTCCAGGGAGAGAGGTGGACCCCTGGGTAGCTTGCTGGGGTCAGAGGCCCCTAGGTGGAGGGCCATGGGGCACCCTGGGGTCTATATTTCAAGTCCAGGGAGAGAGTTGGACCCCTGGGTAGCTTGCTGGGGTACGAGGCCTCTTAGTGAAGGGCCAAGGGGCACCCTGGGGCCTATACTGCAAGTCCAGGGAGAGACGTGGACCCCTGGGTAGCTTGCTGGAGTCAGAGGCCCCTACGTGGAGGGCCAGGGGGCCCTCTGGGGCCTATACTGCAAGTCCATTGAGAGAGGTGGACCTCTAGGTAGCTTGCTGGGGTCAGAGGCCACTAGGTGGAGGGCCAGGGGGCACCCTGGGGCCTATACTGCAAGTCCAGGGAGAGAGGTGGACCCCTGGGTGGCTTGCTTGGGTCAGAGTCCCCTAGGTTGAGGGCCAGGGGGCACCCTGGAGCCTATAATGCAAGTCCAGGGAGAGAGGTGGACCCCTGGGTAGCTTGCTAGGGTCAGAGGCCCCTAGGTGGAGGGCCAGGGGGCACCCTGGGGCCTATAGTGCAAGTCCAGGGAGAGAGGTGGACCCCTGGGTAGCTTGCTGGGTTCAGAGGCCCCTAGGTGGAGGGCCAGGGTTCACCCTGGGGCCTATAGTGCCAGTCCAGGAAGAGAGGTGGACACCTGGGTAGCTTGCTAGAGTCAGAGGCCCCTAGGTGCAGGGCCAGTGGGCATCCTGGGGCCTATACTGCAAGTCCAGGGAGAGAGGTGGACCCCTGGGTAGCTTGCTGGGGTCAGAGGCTCCTATGTTGAGGGACAGGGGGCACCCTGGGGCCTATTCTGCAAGTCCACAAAGAGAGGTGGA